AAAATAAACCATCCGGGTTCCCTCACTTGGATTATGACAGGACCCACAATTCTAAAGGAATTAAAATATCGTTATGTATAGATGGATGCATGTTACTTCATGTGTAAATCTAAATGATTTCAAATATCTGAAATACAGTAAAACACAAATAACATTCCTTTGCATAACCAAATTGAATCACTCCCTAAGAACGGATCTCTCCAACGTGAGATTGCATTACCACACAGCAGCCTGCTTCCACGCTTCCACACTCTTCTACAGCTGCGGTGTAGCTGCGAGTATCACCAGACTCAGCTTCCCTTCCACAAGTGTATGGGTAAGGAGAAGATGAAGCACGTAAAACGCACTCGTGAAAAATCAGTTCATCTAAATCAAACGCATAGCAGTAAATGGTGGCAGAGAACAGCTTCACCGTTTCGGAGAATCCACTGTGTGTTCATAAAGAGTATATAGCTGTACAGTATATTACCTCCCACTGCTTCTTACATATTGTCTTATGTGAAAGTGTGCCAAACTGAAGATTAAAAATCCTGTTTCAGTCTATCACTTCCCCAACTTAATCATCTGTAAATCTTCTGTACCAAGCATTTAAAATCACTGGTATATAACATTCAGCCAAGGTAATATCAAAATATATTTTATTCTGGACCTCTTTCAGATCTGATTCAAATTACAGTTGTCAAAGCAATACAATGCAAAGGGAAACTGCAACAGAAAATGTGCCTAGAAGGGATATAAGGGCCTTGGGGACAAATCATTGTGATGTAGAACCAAAATACATCATAAAGTGTAATTAACATGGTCCAGGACAGTATAGAACATCTATATCAGTCTTCTTTAGACAATAATCATGAAAACTGAACAATAAAAGTCCTTTAAACAAGTACAAAAAACTGTCATGGGCTGGTTTACACTTTTACAACAGTTGTAATTTAACTGGATAACTGAAGAAATGATGCAGACATTTTAATCCAGTGCTATAGGTAGGCTCACAGAATTAGACCCAAAGGATTTGTAACTCCAAATGAAACCATTACAACTACAATGTCAATGTCAGGAGAGAGAGAAAATTACTTCTGTATTCTAGAATTACTGTTCTGCACACTGCAGTCTGTTGAGGACAAGATTGCAAAGTACACTGGACTAGCAACAACATGCAGACTGTTTTCCTGTACTTACCCACAAATGTCAAAAAACATTATGAAGTAAAAATGAATGATTATTTTTTTTAAAAAAAGAAAACAAAAACATGCCTCAAGTTATTGTCAAGCTTCAAACTTAAAGGCAGAGAAAGCGAATTATGTACTCAAAACTACTGATCTGAAGCACTATTAACACTAAATCTGCAATCTGCAAGAAACAGCAGATTTTCCTGGTTCGTCTGCCTTCCATCAGACTGACAGTGAAGACAGTCACACTTTCACAGAATGTGGAATTTCAGAGCTTTCTCTAGAGGGAGAAGTGAAGACTGCTCCACGGCTCTCTCCCTATGGAAAATGTCAGGGATCTTGATGGAGATTTACTGCTGTCTCCCGAAGCCATATTTGCTTCTAACATGCCACAATGTTGCTTCTGCTTTCTTCAGACTTCTGGAGAGTGTGAAACGATCCCACTGGGGAACGGCTCTACAGGACTTTGTGAAGGGAGAAGCTATCGCGCTTGTCAATGAAAAAGGAACACCGTGCTAAATCCAGCAGGCCCTGCTCTGGCAAAACCCCCACGGAAGCCAAGGGGAGCCTTGGCTCGAGCGGGACGTGGCTCTTTTCACCTACACGGTACGCTGTGCAGTGTTACACAGACCCAACGCCTCCAATGTTTATTCTGGCAAGGTTTTCTCATGAAGTGAAAGACAATGGGATTTCTGGTTAAGTAAAGATTGGAAAAAATCAGGTCCCAAGGCTCCTCTTCGCTAAACAGACAAAAACATACAACCTTTTATTTACAAGCTGAAAAACCCAGTTTGCAATTTTAACGAAATTCCTTCATTCAGCAGAACTAAACGTATCAGCTGCTAAGATTGCTTTGTAGGCAAACTGGCACAACCGCCCTATGCCACCTACTATTCTTCCTAAACACAAAGAACATTTCAAAGGTACAATGTCCCATTAAATACCCTAGCATGAGGTAAGCAGTGTAAGGAAAAAGGAGTGCTTAAAATGAAAGTTAATTAAAATTGGTAGAAATCTTTGGCCTTTCTCTCAAGATGCATTAAAGTGTCATGAAATCAAGAAACATGCTTCAAAATGCCATGTCATTCCGACTCTGGTAACTATTACCTCCCTCCACCCAACCCAGAAAAAGAGGCACTTTTAGTGTTTCATATAAGATTTCCAATCATCTAGTAGACACGCTAAATAACCCTGCACAATTGTAGTCCCAGAATAAACTGAGTTTATCAACATTACAAAGAGTCTAAAAAAGCTTTTATAAGGTCCTAGATATTCTCTTAACTACACTAAAAAGTCCACTGGTTGGGAATCTTTACATCAATTTAAAAATGCAGAAAAAGGTAAAGTAAAAATAGAAAAAGAGGAACTCTACAGAAACCTGGACCTAATTATGCAGAAATGAGAAATGGGATTCTGAGATGGATGCATAGAAAGACAGCAAACTCAAGAGCAGTTCATTTCTTAATCCATCACTGATTCTGAGCCCAGTTTTTCCCCTTCCTTTTATCCTCTGTTTGGATATTTGCCCATTAATGTGTTGAACTTGAAAAAAATAAGAACTGTAATGTATGCAAAGGCCTATGCACACATTTGCCTTCACACTTGGAAAACAGGCGCAACAGAATTACTTGGTATGTAAGACTAAGCATGTGCATACGTTTATACAAAGTTAGGGTCTTACTGACATTTGGTATACTCAATTTAAAGGAAAAATTTGGATAGTCTACCTCACTATTGAATACGAGGTCTTTGTGCTATAAAAGATAATAATTAATGTCATGGTTCTCTTTTTTTTTTTTCTTTTTGCTTCACATAATCACAGAACCTAGCACACCTTGCATGCATGCATTTAACAGTGTATAAAACGAGAGGCGAGAAGAGGTGTGAGCAGGAGCAGCACTGTGGCATGCTAGTAAAGGACAACAATAAAATATCTATTGGCCAGATCTTTTGCTAGTGGCAACTGGCATCATTCCACTACAGTGGGGCACTGTTGATTAACACCAGGTTGGGGGTCTCAGCCTGCACATCCAGAGCACTCAGGGCAACAGATCTGACATTTCTGCTGGACTGTGCTTCAAGCACCTGAAAACCCCGGACCTGTGATACCGAAGCTCTGTTTCATCTATTTCTGAATATGTGATACTATGCTTAAGCAACTAGAATTACAACCAAAACAGCTGATGATTGAGAAAGAGGAAAATGGCAATACCCTAAAACATGGCTGTGTGATTTTGCAGCTATGTCACAGAATTCCACCACAATTGTTTAAATTGGCTGAAAGAATCATCCAATAACTTTTATGAAAATGAATAAACTGTCCATATTAAAATACAAAAGTACTATCAAGAATCACTTCTGACTTTCAGATTTAAATTCAGTGCAATTGACAAATGCATTACTAAATGAAAAATGCAGCTTAAACATACTCAAAACATTTGTGTCTATTCCTGGGAGCACAGTTTAAAATTATTGCACAGAATTTTTTTTTTTTAATTTTTTTTTTTTCTTTTTCATTAAATGACAGAGGTCAGCCACAGTCATGGACCTCCAGCAATAAAAGCAATATTTCAAGTGCCAGACACTCAATATATTAGGTTTCCTACATATTGTAACTCGCAGGGTAATTGCTCTAAACATTTGTAACATGTTCCAAGACCCTAAAAATAGCTGGCACCAAACCACCGCAGATGACTGTCTTTATGGATATGACTTTTTGTTGGTTTTAAATGCTGTGTATGATAGTATTATAAGCCTGGGGTATATATAAAGAATGTACTGTTGACTTCTCTTTACCACTGGCAAATTGCTACTCTACCTTAGCCAAACTCAGACTTGCTTCAAGTCGTGTTTATTCCATGGAAATAGCAGAAATCAATGCCTGAAGAACAATGGTTAAAATGTCAAAGCTGCATTATCTCAATTAAATCAATTTATATCTAACTTGAAGGGAAAAAAAACCCAAACAACAACAAAAAAAAAGAGGTTAGAGACTAGCAATCATAAGCCACAAAATTATTTGTGATTGAAATAGTGTTATAAAACTGATAACTTTGCAAAGCTCTGTAATATAAACCATTCCTTAAGTAAAACGCCTGTGACATAAATTTGACAACCTCTCTTTTTATAAATTTACACTCTTGGAATCTTATGCAAGACATGATGCAACCTTTTTGACTACACATACGCGTAAACACAACTTCATGCTAGCATTTACAAATAAAATCACTATCAGTATACTTTTAATCACATGAGCAGAAAAAGGTTTGCCATATACATCTGTCATTGTAAGAAAAATACTTGATATGATATTGTAAACAGAGTAAAAGACACTATATAGTAGTGATTATTAAAAAAATAGCAGCTTACATCTACCCTATATTTGGAAAAAAATGTAGTCACAAGATACAATAAACTGCAGGACTGGAGCAGCAGGGGAATTAGTGCAAGTATTCATCTTTTGAATAAGCTGAATCACTGCTATTAAAATAAACTTGAAGCAAGTCCTCTGTTCATTTTTTTTTTTTTAAATCTAAGGTAGTAAACATTTTGCCTCTTAATGGCAGTGTTATCAAATATATGCCAAAGATTTTATTTTAACAAAGAAAAATTACATGAGATACTTTTAATACTGGAGTTTGGTTACAATTATACATCTAAGCTCCTACAAATAATGATGGGCATCTCTCAAAGAAGCTGTGGCATGAACCCTTGTCCAGAAAGATCTTAACCTCTTAGAAACAATCCCCCAGCTATACTTTGCTCCTTTTCATAATAGTGCACAATTTAACCATATTTTAGCTATGGTCTTAAAGCAACAGAAGATGCATTTTTTTTCTCTTTTTTGTCCTTTTTTTTTTTTTTTTTTGCATCCCTGTATTTTTCTTTTCTGTATTTTTGTGCCCTTCTATTCTTAGGTTTGGCAGAATTATGTCCCAAATGAGAAACTACTGCATTTCAGCCATGTCACCAGAAAATAAAACATAGCATTATACCCATTACTGTCATATTTCGTAGACGAGCAGTACGTGAAATATCACGCCTCAAAGAAGGATTTGTTTTTCTTCTCTCTCCATAATCCCTTTTCCACCCTCCCTCTGTTCACAAAATTGTGCTCTGGGAGCCACAAAATGTACCAAACATTATCAGGTTCAATCTACCTCTTCAAAGAATGCATTAAAATATGTTTCAAAGAAACATTTTTTTTTCCCAAGGTGAAAAAAATATAAACAAGAAACTAATTCACTCCCTTACTTCATGCATCCGTAAACTTAACCAAAACAAAACAGAAAACCCAATGTTTAAAAGCAAAGAAAAAAACTACTGCTGCAGATTTCTGTAAGTCCATTTTCTCTGTACACACAAACTGCTCAACTACTGAGAAGGAAAACAAAAATACCCCACAATCCATTGTCATAATGGATTTAAAGGGGGGAAGGGGTAATGAAGGCTGCCATTAGTATCTTCTGAATTTGGTATGTATACGGGTCTGCTCTTGTATATGGTATATTTCTCTCTCTCTCTCTCTCTCTTCTGTTTTTCATATCCAAAACCTTTAAACGTTATTTTGGGGCACAGCAGATTCCAGCACTTGGTGAACAGGATTCACAAGCTGTGACAAAACTCTGTCATCCTCTTCAGGGTGTAATTTTTTTTTTTTCCTCTTTTTTATATACAGTATATGTATATATTTCTTTTATGTTTGGCTGTAGTGGACTGGCCATGGTTCAATTGGGACTATAGCAGTACATGGGTCAGGGACAGTCATTTTGGCTATGTACACATTCATAGTCGGTCCATGGCTTCCAACTAGTAGCGCTATTTCCGTAGGTCTAATACACAAACCTGCAAGAAAAAAAAAAATGCATATACAGAAGTTGCTCATTGCACAATATTACACATTTATACAATTCTGTGTGAAGTATCTGAGCAAAACCTATGAAACAGGTTGTGTAAGCTTAATCTTCTATCTATTAACAATAGATGGGGGGGGACGGGTGGGGAAATCACCAGCAGAGCACTTTGTTTATGAGCACCCAGCCAGATCCAGGTGCTAAAGGTACTGCTGCCTAATGTATTGCTATCAGAACATTAACAACATCTTAGGTAAGCTATTTGCCTGTTATTTAACATTATGAGGCTGAGTACTTACTTGAATCTAGGTTATAAAAATATAGTAAAATGAAACAAAAAATATGTGGGCAAATACTGGAATTGATCAGAGTAATTCTAAAAAAACCCAGAAGTTAACAGTATACAAATTCCAGTTTTAGTCTTCTTAAAATCTTCACTAAGTAGTGCTTCTAGTTCTGTCAGATACAGAAATCTACTAGTAAAATATAATCATATTTGACCAATCAAAATTAATTGTCTAGAATTTAGTCTACCTAAAATTCAGAACTTCCTATTTTCTGTTCTGAACTCTAACAAAGCAAACTTGCTTACCAGCATGGAGCACACAGGACAGGAGAACACTTTGGCACCTGTGTTAAGATTCTTCCTGAGACCCCAGACTACAAAGCTACCAGGATTGCTTTTTGCTGACATTTGTTACTTTAAGCTACAGCACTTCAAAATACAATTCCTTTATCACTCTTATTTTATTCTAATTTTGCTTTTCCTTGGGCTCTCTTCTCGTTTCTTCCAAAACCATGGCAAATGATTGGCAAGCAAAAAACCAAGTATCATACTCGTTACAAAGAAGTGCATGTTAGTATTTTACTGCAGTACTTTGCAGGACAACGTCAGAAGAGCTACAACACACCACTATGAGATGATAGGGGCTGCATTCATGATTAGTTAAACATAGGATTTTTTCCCCTGCTTCTTCTAAGCAAAGTAAGCAAGCAGACTGGTACTAACACACAGCTCCTCTCATTTTTAGGAACTTTTTAATTATGAACATTCAGAAATTTGTACTTTGTTTTGCTGTACTTCCTGTTGAATGCAATGCAGGACATATTAGTATAACACATAATAGGAGTGAAATATCACCCACACTGAACATTTTCAGTCAAAAAGGGCAGAGAGGCAAAAATGAACTTGTTTCCAGACTATAATGAGAAGACCAGCCACAATGAACACATTTCCATGGTAAGTCCCAGCAGGGACAGAGAATCTAAATCAGAGGCATCTTCACTTTCTGAGATTTTTGGAGGATTTAGAACAGTAACGCATCAAGCTGGAATAAAGACATTCTCCTTACAACACTACAGCATCCCTATAGGTGAAAGTCTACAAGTGAGCTGGCTGTATTCAACCTCCAGCTACAGAATTTTGTCTCCATTGTTAGTCAAAAGATTTCCAGAAGATGCTTGTTGTTAGAATGCCAACCAAGTCAAGCAGCACTTACTGAACCATCTGAAGCACTTGCTCCAACTTTGTCTCCTGCTGCATTCCAGCAAACCTCAAAAATCCCTCCTGTTCCCCGATAACTGTGAACTAGGGCACCTGTCTGAAAAGGGACAAAACATGTAATTAATGTAACAAAATCCAAGTGAACAAGTAACATTTGTACAACATGTAAAACTTCCCCACTGCTTTTATAAGCTGAAATTCTCAGAGAAAATGGCCCAGATGAGACTCGTGGACAATCTCAGCACTGTGTTAAAGGGCATGACAAACACAATTATCACATCTTGATCTCTTGTGTTTGACACGCAAAACTAGGGATGGTCACGACTACTTCTAATTAATTTTTGAAAGGCTCATTTTAGTAATGTCCAATTCCCAGTAGCCAGAGATCACATCTTGCTTAACAACAAGGTCTTTAGACTTTTACTCATAATCAGCCCATTTTTGCCAGAAATACAAAACAAGTTATATGGTCCTTTCTTAGAAAGTGACGTAGAAACATTTTGTCGTCATTGTTTTCTCTCACTTTACATTCTCTCGTTTTTCAGTGAAATTCAATGAAATAGCTATCAGATTTGTATGTCTACATCCAGTCATCATTTTTCATATCAAACCTGTTTTATCAGGAGTTTAAAGTTTAGAGTTAACAAAGACAATTTTTGGATGCAACATGGTATCGGAGACATTTTGTTGAATGTGTTTTGTTAGTGGTGGTTTTTTGGTTGGGTTTTTTTGGTTGTGGGTTTTTTTTTTCCTGTTGTTTTTTTTTGCTAAGTGAAGACAATGTAAAGACAATTATTACTTCAACAGAGGTAATCTTAGAACAAAGAGAAAGCAAATCAGTGTGTTAGGAATGGCAAAGCTCTTTGTGGCCAAAACATGACAGAGCAACAAAGGTTGGAACGGTGCTGATGCAAATGACCAAAACACAAACTTCTAAACAGACAGAAGAGCTATACCTGTGTATTCCAGATGTGTACACATTTATCAAAGGAGCCACTGGCCAGGTACCTGCCATCAGGACTGAAAGCTACACTGTACACAGGTTCTTGATGTTTTGTCAGAGTATGAATACAAATTCCTCTGTCTACATCCCATAACCTAACAGTAGAATCAAAGGATGCACTGTCAAGGAAAAAAACACAGATTAATTACATCTCAATTTGATGTATTTTTGTTACTAATACAAACACAATATGATCAAGTATCCTACATGCTTCAAAACATTCTGTGAACCTACTTATATAAAGAGTGAAGTAAAAATAACATTTAACAGGCATTGAAAAACAGGATTAAATAGTACCTTGCTAACATAAGATTGGCATTTGGATTATTTGTTCCTGGTCCTGTAGGACTCCATTTGATAGTATAAATTTCTTTGTTGTGTGCTTGTAAATCATGGACACAACTGTCTTGTTTCATACTCCAGATCTGTGATAAAAACAGAAGAAAACACAAAGACATTTAGCATAATACTGCACTAAAATACATTTTACATCTTTCTTTTTTATCATTTGCAGCCTGACTGCTACCTTTCAGGCCACTCAAAATATATGCTATGACTGCTGGGTTTCTAGAGTAATTCTGACAAGTATTATTCCAGTACACTCCATTCTTTGAGTTATAAAGTACCTGATGGGGTTAATGAGTAATAAAGGTACTGTCTATAGAAACCAATATGCATGTGTTAACTACAAGCCCCTTGAAAAGTGCAGGGATGAGAACAGATGCTAAGATGAGAAGAGCAATATGTATATGTTCACGTCTTGAGTTGACAAAAATATCACAGTCCTATTTTTACATGAATTTTTTGCTACACAGACTGAGTGAAATGAAGGGATAGTAGAGAAATTTTCTGTTTTCATACAAAGCCATAGATGCATACGGCAAAACCATTATGGCATTTCCCTGGCTTATTAGGATTTGCATTACCAGGTGTTTGTTCAGTACTTCACACAGTTCCTTAGGACTCCAACTCTTGCATGATAACCTTCAACAAACAAAATAACTTTATTCTATTAAGAGTTTGCATTGCTACTACAGAAGGGATCTGGGAAGGCTCTTATAACTATGGTGGCCAATCATCTGAATGCTTTTTTAATGATATCTGTTTCAGTAGTGGTTTTAGCTCATCTTTTGTTAGAAAAGTGAACAGGAGCATGTTTAAGCCTAACTGTATTTAAGATGCGATTGAGGTGTATGTTTAGATGAATGACGCTCTTAAGCACTGGTGCCTCACTGAAGGTGAAATTGATTTTCAATGTGCAAACAGAATTAAAATTGTATTTCCAGTTTAAATTGATGTGATCAAAATCTCGCTTCTCTTCCCAAAACTAGTATAGATGAAAAGAGTCTACATTAGCTACCCTAGAGAACATCAAGTTGGCATCACAAGAGACATAAATAAATAAATAGATCACTAGGCATCTTCCATATGCTTCAAAACCTGACACCCATGCCTACTGCCATTGAAAAGTAAGTGATCCACAAGCAATTACTCTTCCAGTTAACCCTGAACAAAACAACAAAAATTCTTTCCAGGCTGGGCTGAATTCAGAATGGGAACCAAGAAGTTAATTGCCTGAACTGCCTGAGCCCACGAATGGTGACATGTTCCCAGCTGTCACCTCTCTACTCACCCAGAGGCAGCAACAACAGCTTGAGCTCTAGATTAGAATTCATCTCACCTGAGTTTCAGCTGTCTATTAAACATCTAGTTGAACTGGCTATTTTGACTCCATCCATTGCCAATAGAGAACAACCAATGCTCTCAGGGGCTTACTCATCACACTTGACTTAGACACTTAACTTAAGAAAGGATAAATTGCTCTTTAGTGGTGCTAGACACTCTGTTGACTAAAGAAGTCTAGACATCTAGCTTTAGACTGGAGGCTTAATGCTTAAATGTCTGTATTTAGATAAGGTCATTTCCATTGCAAGAGCCTGACTGTGTGCCAGCAAAGGAGAGGATATCTGGCTACTCATTCAGCCATTCTCTGTCTCCGATTAAACAACGGTGAGATAGGTGGAAATAACTGTCCCAAGGTCTACTAGTAGGACAGCACTGTCAACATAAAAAAACCCATATTCTGAAACTCTACCAAACATAGTGCTAAAACACCCACTAAATATAAAGCAGTATGGGAGTAATGGAAAAGCATCTGTACCATGGAAACAGCATAGGCCTGTCAGGCGTGAATGACCTCATTTCATCTAGTGTATCTAACCTGGTAGTATTTTTGTATGGATCTCTAGTGCACCTTGAAGTCATATGTGTAAGCTACAGTATCGTCTGCGTTCTTGCCCCGGTTCTACAAGAAAGCACGTTGCTATGAATTATTTGGAGAAAAAGTGTAGGTAAAACTGAAAACTGTAGAATGACTTCAGATCAATTGGAAAAACCAAGCTGTACAGAGTCTCTTAAGAAACAGTGTACCAAAGATTTTAACTAGAAAGAAGGAGAAAACAGAAGAAAACCAGAAAAGGAGCTAGTCACCCATTCTTGTACGTGTTACACGACATGCATTCCAACTCTTCCTTTTAACCAAATGTAACCATCAAGCGTGACAGTTTAATGATTAATGATGACCTGACTCTGTAAACAGCTAAAAGCACCTAATAAATCATGTTCCAAGTCTCAGGGTGGCAGTCTGTAACAAGTTCTCTGGACCAAAGCTTGGCTCTGATTAACAAGGATTTGCTAGGATTGCCTAATCTTGTTATATTAAAAGAGAACAAATATTAAACAACGCAGCAAGTACAGCGATACTGCTGGATTGCCTGAACTAATGGTGTGCATTCCAGAGTCCTACAAAGACAAGAGCCAGTACCAGAACTCCCGTTACCTTTAGAGTCATATCATCAGAGCAGGATGCCAGAAGATTACCAGTTGGATCCCATTTGATTGCGTTTACTTCATTCTAAAATTGAACAGTGAGAGTAAGTTGGAGTCTTCACTTCCATTACAAATGACAGCTTACAAAAGATAAAGTTGGACAGCAGTTATAAGTATTTGTACAATTGTCAGTATTTCAACATTTAATTTTCATTCCTAGCTTTGCCTTCAATAACAAAAAATTTTTGCTACCTGTTCAACACATTTTCCCATGAATGTTCTCACACATTTTGCTATGCCATCCTGGCATTTGTAAAAAAAGCTGCATGTGGGAATGAGAATTGTACTAGTAATGACAAAGACTACAGTTACCATATGACCTTAACTACAACTACCTGAATATGTATATCTATTGCCTGTTTCCAAAGACCACCCATTACCCAAGTGCTGTATACTGGCAAGTATACTGGTCCCCCAATCTCTCATTAATAAAAATATCGTATAGCAATCCCCAATTTTCCTGTACTTACTGTGTGACCCTGGAAGGTTTTGATGGGTCGATCTTGTCCTAGTTTACAGACGTGAATACACATGTCCGTACTGCAAGAGGCAAATGTGTTGTTACTCTGCCAATCAACATCTAATGCTGGTGCTAAAAGAAAAAGAAAAATATTTAAAATTACGGCATGTATTCTGCAGGAGTTTGATTTACAAAATTAGCATGCACCACCTTAGAACAAATGCCAACAGGAAGCAACCATTAATTTTACAGCAGTTCCAAAGATAATCAAACACTATGAACAGTGAGAAATGCAGCCAAAACTAGTCTTACACTAAGAAATTAAACAAAATTTAATAGAAGTCGTTAAAACATGGAACGTATCTGAAATGAAACAGTTATACAGAAGACAGTGCAGCAGGACAATAAGCTGTAGTTAAGTCATCTACAAATAAATCTCAAGAGTCACCACAAGGAACAGGTTCCCACAACTTAACACATCATCATGCATGAACTCAACTCCACTAACAGTCCATGTTTGTGCTGATAGATGGCAGTCAGTGAAAGGTAATAATTTATTTCCTTTCCTAATTCCAGCATTATAAGGTGTGGTAACTTGAAGCTTAATCATGGGTGACATATTCCACTCGATCTAGCCAAGATATTTATGGCAGATAGCACACAGAATTGCTTGGAGTAAATCAAGAATTGATGCTTTTGATTGTTGTCATGCCACTGAAAACATAGCGCGAGTGGAATAAAAAGTGGAAGTGAGATACATTTCTTAAAGGCCCTTCAATGACATGTTCGTCATCCTTTCTATTCTATTTTCCAGCTGATTCTGGCAGGCTTGCACACCATGCAGCCCACAAGGCAATTTGCCTGACCTCCTGAGAGGCTGCACTCTCATCCCAGCTGGCCAGTGAATAGCCTTTCAGCTGGTTTGTGGCCAAACAAATTGGGGACAGCACAGCAGGCAGCACAGAACAATAGGATGTGGAGCTGGGATTACTGTAGCAGGAAGATGACAAATGTAGTCTTTAGCTGATAAATACAAAATCCTTCATGGCCCACCCACTTGATTTGTCTGCCACTGTACTACAGAAAGTCAGTAATATTTGGATTATCTCTTATGACTTTCATAGAATTGCAATAAAATTGTGAGTTATAAAGTTATAAAATCAGAACAATTCTATCTTTGTTTGCATTCTCAAAATTCATGAGACTAAGAATATGGGACTCGGTATCCAAAATCTGCTTGTAAGATTTTAAAATGGTGTAAATAAGCACCATAAACTTCAGATTTTTTAATTTATTTTAATAAATAACACTTTTTTCATCTTTTCAGATGCCAATCCTGAATGATCAAAATCAAGACTTACCAGAATGAAAAGGAAATTGCTGCTTGGCTTCACCAGTATGGGCATCCCAAATAATTGTTGTCTGTATTAAACAGATAAATAAACAATAAACAAGCTTGTACAAATTGCTAATTTCCCCACAACTATTACCATTCACATGTATCAGATTACCTAGCCTACCGCCCCACTGCCCAAACCTGGTCCCGATTATATATTTCTAGCATTTTACCCAGTACTAAAGGAAGTGGTAGTAGATGTCCAGACAACAGTAGAAAACCTTAATATGTTGCAGTATTAGAAAGGTGTTTAATCACAACATTTTGGAGTCTGGAGAGATGAAGAGGGTTGTGGGGTTTTTTTTATAAACAAAAGTTAAATAGATTTATCTCTTTAGTCCTATTTATATTCTTGTAATCCACTCCACACACCTATTTTAATTTCAAATACTTGTACATTCAAATTGCAATTTCAAATACTCATTAGTCCCTAAGGAGATCTTCATATAAACAATCAGTCTCATGCTTAAGAATCTGAAATATTTGATTTAATGGTGTAATTTTGTTCTGAGTTGTTCTCTGCCAATACTTCTGATATCCTTTTGATGAAAGAAATCTTATATGACAAAATTAGTATTTTATAATCTCTGTATTATATGCCAATATTCCTGGTCTACCTCAATAATCAATGAAAATTTTGACACTGAATTCAGTGAAAGCACGAACTGACCGCACAAGTTATTTATGGTAAAGCAGCATAAGGTTGGGTAAATCTTTCTGCCAATGCAGAATATTTTTCAAAGCATAATCTCAGTTGCTTTGTCCAAAGAGTATTACTGACTGCAACAAGGCTTCTATCTCCTCCAGAACAGTTTTCTGCAAATTAAAGCTGTACCTCTACAAAGATTTAAAAACTGACATATGCCATCACAGTTGCCAAAAGAAGAAACCCATCCTTTGAGATGGGTTCCATGCTTTGAGACATTTACTCTTCCTTTCTTTGTGCCAGCACAAGCATTTTAAAACTGGGCACTCAAGCAAACCAGGTTAAATGCATGCAGGAAAAAAATAATAAATAAATGAGAAAAATCTACTACTTCACAGTGACGATGCCAGTTTTAAGTATTGTTGGTCTGTGGTCTCACTGAGCTTGCAGTTTGCCAGTCTCACAAAGAGAAAGCCTGTGTTTATTCCTGCACCTTGAATCAGTTACAGAGGAAAAACTAAACTCTTCTTACTCTTTGAATAGTCTATTCTATTCCTTGAATTCATCTTAAGTCTATTCTTCATCACTATGTGCCCTTCCTACCATTCATAAAAATCTCTCATGCTAACAACAGCTTTGAATTTAAAGACCTTGTGAGTCTCCAAGTTTGTTTAGAGATGTGAAATAAAGCACAGTTGAACAATGAGCTTCGTGGCATTACACTATCGGCACCTCCCCAGTCAGATATATTGACTTTCTTATGTTCCAGTTCTAATCTTTTAAATCATTCTCAGCCTTGACTGATATCCAAATCAGCCTGAACCTATTCCTCCAGTACAATTTTCTTCTGAGGCTTTGCATAAAGTGCTTCACTAAATTTTAGATGATTCGGCTTTACAAAGGTTTAATGTTCCTGCGTTCAATGCGCTTACTTTCCAACTTATGCTAACCTAATTAGGAAGAGATCCAGGGACACTGAAATCTAATAAATTAAAATATCTCAACAAACTACTATAAAACACAAGGAAACATAACTAGCATAACATGTTCTTTGTAAGTACATATTTACATCCCATGCCTTTAGTTTTAATTACTTACTTTCTACAGCTTTGCTATTATATGCTTACAATTAGATTATAACGGTGAAGGAAAGAATTTTAATTTTACCAAAGATTATCTCACCTTGTCCACTCCTGCACTTAAAATGAAGTTTCCTTTCTTGTTCCATTTTAACGCAAATATAGGACCTTTATGTTGCCCTAAGGTGCTGGCAAGATTACCTGAAAATTTATATTGATATGAATACATTAAAAAAGATAAAAAACTATGCTGTGAGCCACAACACAGGAAAATATACTGGAAATCAAAAGCATTTCACTTACCATCTTTAGTCCATATCCTTGCAAAGCCATCGTAAGACCCAGTTGCTAGAAGTGTACCTTCACTCTGCCAGCAAAAAGGTTATTTATTTATTTTTACTGTATAAATCAAAGCTAAAAAGCACAAAGCAAATTTCAGGTAGAATACATCTGCATAAGACTTATGATATTTATTCCATTGACTACAACTTACTAAAAAGAAGTCCCTGAAGTACAATGCAAGAAATTACAATGCAGAAATATTTCAGGAGCCGTGGCAGGGGATGCACAGTTGCCGTCACTTAAAATTTGACTATGCAAAACTATAGGTACAGTCTTGTCAGAGTATTTTGAGCACTGACATTTGTACTTACATTCCAATCCAGTGACGTCACATCTTTGTTGCTGGGTACATCCTGCCCTCCTTCTCGTATACAGTGTCGAAGTACCAGCTGCGTAGAGCCGCTCGTGCTATTTTCACTGAGGTTCCATATCCGTGCTGTTGAATCTCCAGATCTGCAAAACAATTAATGAGACCATAACTCCTTCTCCCAATTAATTCCATTTGAAAAAGGTATTCCTTTCAAAACAGCAAAACGTTGTGGCATTTGATGTAGAGGGCATAGGGGCAGGTATTATTTTAACTTGTTACCATTAACATACAGAAGCATGCCAATAAGCATTGTATTACGTACACACATGGTTAATGCACATACCCTGAGGCCAAAAGGTCACTAACGGGATTCCAGGCACAGATGAATACTTCAGATTCATGGCCACGAAGCACCACTGCCTTGTTGGGAGGGATTTCAACATCTCCATCTACTTCCATCATATCTGTGTGATTATCTGCATTATGGGAAACAACAGTAGAGAGAGGTGGATTTTAATATTTGGGGACAATAGATTGTAACTACTGTATGGTTCATATTACTCTGGGATGAGCATAACAATTAATTCACAATTTAGGTGGATCAAAATTTGACAAAGCTGTTAGTGTTCCTTTATTTTTCCAGTTCCAAGATATGAAATACTATAAACAGATGGGGAGTTTCAAAAATGTGAGAAAGCTCTTAGCCCTTCTAAACCTCAGCATCCAAATGGATTTAAATTTTGAAACTTCAAAATAGAGGTCAAAAGTTAATTTTTCACTATGCTACAAATTAAACACTGGTGTTAAAAGTACTCACAGTTTTTCAGGCATGATACCGTACTGTACAATATGCTACTATTCTATCTTGTGCTTTAAAAATACATTTATGACACATTCGTTTTCAAAAATCTCTCTTTCCACCAACTGCAGTCAAACAGGTTTTAAATCTACATCTTAGACATTTCATTTACAAAATGGCTTTAATTAATATAATAACATTTGGTGATACGGTAAACTGATAGCAGGGCTTTTAAAACTGCATTGGCAATTACCGTGGAATTGTGGCAATACGTAGCTTTCTGTGTGCAAGTGATGTTGAATCCATATTGTTCTGTAAAACATACTGGGGGTAATTCAACTGACAAAACACTTTCCTGGGCAGCTACCATCAATCATTTTCTATTATTAAAAATAAATTCACACTGAGTGTAAATGCAGAATATAAAAAATGCTGAACAGTTCACCTGCTCTGTATTTATTCAGTGTGGTTAAACAAAACGTTTCACATCTACTGCTTAATTTAACATTAAAGGTTTCTGTCACCATTTGTATGTGTGGGAAAACAGAAAAGGCTATTAGAACATGCATATTTTTAAGAAAGAGCACCATATAAAATGTTGCTTCAATTAAAGAGAATCAACGCCAGTATAATTTGGTGTACCAGCCAGTAGGGGTTGCTGGTATATCACATTTAACAGTGGCTGAGATCTGAAGTTTACACTAGCTCTATCCAGTTCATAGTTAACAAGTAAATATTCTTCAGAGATTTTTGAATAAAAGTATCAAAGTAGACAGCTTATTTAAGTCAAAGATTTTATTTCTACTTTATTTATCATGTATAATAATGAAAAAAGTAGTAAAATCCAGCTGTAAAATGCAAAACTTGTACATGGTTTGATATGAATATTCTCTCAAAACTGTCTTTTCTTCAGGTGCTTTTACAGCAAGAGCTGTAACTCCCCCTCTCAAATGTGTAATTCGGACTTCCAGACACTGTTTTCAAAAATCACATTTTAATGTCTAACCTGAACTTTTCTATACTAAGCCTGACTGTAAGATACCTTCCTTTGACCAGTGGTAACAAATAAAACTCACTTGTTTCACCAATCACAACTAAAATTAATAAATCAAACCTGCAAGCAGTTGCATCGAATAATTCTGAATAGCAAATCATGAAAATTGACACTGATAAAGGAGACAAATGACATAGGATTTGTCTCAGCAACATGATGACTTCAGCATGACATGGAAGTATGTCCTACAGATAGCCAGTTACAGCTCTTCAATTCATGGAGTTAGCAGAACCTATCAAAAGTAGTTTGCAGAGCTTCACAAGCAATGCTCAGTGTTAACCAGCTGTGGATTAGCAGACTCCTCTCCTTATTCTTTGTACAGGGCCAAAGCTGAGGAGATGCAAGATTTAAAGAATTGTCTCTGATTTTTTTCCTCTTTATGCAAGAGCACTCAGAAGGTCCTGTGGAAAACCTTCAGACGACAGGAAAGGAGCAGTACTGGAAGTCAGACTGATCAATGGAATATTGTGAATTAATGAATTCAGAAGTTTGCATCTTCTCCTGCCATTCCAAATATCGAACTGGGGACGGTCAATCATTTGTCAAAGTATCACCTATGATGAAGGTATTCTCTGCAAGCTGAAGGGTTACTACTACCTCTACACATTTACCTCATTGTCTACGAGCTCGTACTATGATAAATGACAAGGAAATGACGTTAACATAGGTTAAGGTCATTTCTGTCTCAACTTACTTGCTATAGTATGTGCTCCATTCTCTTCTCCATTTGCAGTATTTTCTCCATTTTTCGCTGATCCCTGTTGGTTAGTCGCGGCTGCAGCCGCAGCAGCTGCTGCCTGCTGTTGTGCAAGTTTATCTCTGTAGGCCTGTTGTCTTGTCTGTACCACATCAGGCATTACTGCATCTATCAGTGAGAGAGACTCTATCGGCCTACCATCAAACAAGGTACCATCCTAAATTACAGCAGAGGGAGAAAACAAAAAAAGACAACACCAAGTACAAATTAACATTATGGGCAAAAATTCCAAGGAAAGCTAAAGCAAAATTTTTTATTTAATATAATAAAACAGTTCCAGCACCATTTGTAAACTGATAGTTCATCATAGCTGTGGTTAGGATTAGAATTTTGTCTAAAGTTAAGTGGCCACCATTACTATGCAAAAAAAGCCACCACAGGCCTCTGGCAGAGCTTCGGGAATCAAAAGTTATATGCTTTGAGTTTGCTAAATCGTCTGCTAAAGCAAAAAATTCTGCAAGCTATCTATGAATATGATTTCAAACATGAGTGGCTGCAACAAAATCTAATGGTTTGTTTGAAGAGCTGCAAACATCGCAAGTCGGGTCACTGGCTTGTGAAGTTATTTTATCTTATTAGACTAATACTTTCCATAAACATATTATCCCAAGAGTTGACTAGTTTTCTTCCTTTTTTTTAAACAGTACTGGCATGTTTTCAAACAACAAGGAAGAATTTCATCCTGAAATGGACAAGACCCAGTTAAAAATACCCTTATAAATAACGCTAGAGCTTTGTAAGGATCTTTTTTTAGGAGTTAGAAGGATTCCTTGCAATAAATATAGGGTCTCCTTCTTTTATTCCAATTATTTGCTTTATTATTGTGACGCTTCCTAAGGGAAAAGATTTGCTTCACTGGGACTATGAAAACTACACATAAACAGCAGACATAAAGAAGACTGGAAAGAGAGCAGAATTAGTGAAAAAAACCCAGTTTCCTTCTGTAATGTAACTGACATGTACAAAGGCTGTTAACCTTCCAGGCATAAATGAGAATGGAAATCGAGGGCAAGTATCTGCAGCACCAGGCAGGAAGATACATAGCTTTCTGTACTGCTGGAATAACCATTTAAACATCAAATTTAATAGATCCTGCTCAAGATGAATTAGTCAGCAGAGGCAAAAAGCAAACTGGCATATACCTTCATCCTTCCTGCCACAAATTGAAACCCTCTCTCTATTTGGAAAGCTTGCCTTTAGGCTCTCATTACTTCATTATAACAACATATCACCCAAATGAGACCTGCATAGTATTCTCCCACCTCCCTAGTGCAAGTCTACAAAAACAAAAATTAAGAGGTTACTTGTCTCAATGATTATCTTATCGCACTTGTCTGGATTTACTACAACATTATATTAGGGTAAAAACTCTACAGACAACGGACCTTTAAGCAATGAGCCAGAACACCATGCCTGGTGTTGTGTGGCTGCACTGGGCAGAACCCCTACCCAGTTATGTCACTCCATTCTGGTTCCACCACTGGAGTCATGGTGAACACCAGCAGTAAGGAATCTGAAGTAAAAGTAAATAAATAGGATACAAGAAAGTTAAGAAAAAATACTAACATTCAAACTTACTGCAAGCAAGGACATAATGCTCCTGCAGGGAAAGCCTCCTTACCTCATTAATACTGACTTCTGCCTCTACATACTGCAGACCTTTCTGGATGATGGAAATCAAAGCAGCTGGTGGCACCAGAGCACCATTTATATTAGACTGGCTGATATGGCTCTCTATACCAAAGGTAAATGCTGAATGGGAAAACCCTAAAGACAAGGCAAAGACATTAGAATTGATTTACAGATAGACAATGCTATGTGCCATACCACTGGAGGATCTTCTGTTTACAAACCTAAGCAAATTATACAAAGTTATGGCATGCTTATGAACTATAAAAAAACTTGTCAAAACACCTCTGTTGTTTCCCTCATGCGTTTCTAGTTTAAATGTACAAAAAGAGAAAAACAAAGTTTATATATAAACACAACAACGATTAATTACAGTATCATTGGCAAAACATCTGTGCATGAGTAAATACAAAAATACAAAATAGACAATTTGCAATAGCATTTACATATATTTATATATTCTCAAACTATATATATGTGTTGTATCATAAATAGTATTTAATAAAGCATATATCTCCAAGACACCAAGACTCACTTATTTTTACTCACTGATTTGTTACCCGTGAAAGTGACATGGATCTGTATGTAGAACAGTATTCAATTCACGGTATAGTGCTGTCATAATTGCGTATGTTTTGGCACTTAGAACTACATCAGTATTGTGCACTGATCAAGAAGTAGCAAGCATGTTATGGTGCAGCACTGGTAGTTGCTTGCTATCTATTTGATCACCCTGAGAAGGCAAATTTAACCTAGAGGAAAACAGTTGTTTTTAGCAAATTAACTTACTGTCACAGAATTTTTTCTTAAACTTTTTCCACCCCCCACACACACTGTCAGGTAACTAAGAAGCTGCCTGCAAACTTTCAAATGAAGATAAAGCAATTCTGTAAGTTTGGCTTCTGTGACAAAAGCAATCTGCAACTGGAATAAGAACATATAATAGTTTCCAGTAAATTCAGGTGGAACAACAAGTTTCTGCTTTCTTCTGACAAGCAGAGACTGAAAAACTCTGCCATCCACCATTGCTTCTGGTGCTTCTTTGTCTCAATTTGAGAAATTCATTCATGAGCAGTGGACGTAAGCAGTGGGCAGATGTTGCATCTGTCAAAAGCATTTTCAAGAAGTGTGAAGCTACTCATCAGCAACCACTAAACAAAACTAAGAATCAGTGGATGTTGAAACAGCAAGGTAATGTACACATTAAAGTGATCCCTTACACTGGTACCTTAAGATTGGAGTTTATTTTTGCTTTAATATGCAGACTTCTTTTATGTATTGCTAAGATCATATTCCCTCTTGCCAGCTGACAATCATCACTTGTTCACTTACTGGGGGCATGCCCTGATCTCCAGTCAAATTTACCTCTTCTAAATGTAGGCTGCTTTAAGCAATCAGTATCATAGCTGTGAGTAAAAGATAACGTTGTCTCTTACATAGCTTTAAGAACAATCTCCACCACAAAACACCCTGCAGCCATATAGCTGCATCTAGAAACCCAAACATGCAACACAAACTCAAACCGCTGATCCAGCTGGGTTTGGGAAGTATTAAAATTAACTGTCCAAGGGAACACTACTGCATTCTTGCTTGTATTTACAGACACAGTCAGTTTGGATAAATACCACAGGAAAAAAAGTTTCTTTTCAAGTTTGACAACATTCAGCTGTCTTTTGCTCTTACTCCTAAGAAGCAGGAGGCTTTGGCTAGCCTGTCACCAAAGCACAAAATCCTCCAAGAAAGTGTTCTGCAGGGAGGGAGGCTTTTGAGAACCCAAGAGTTATTCCTGTATAAAACCTGTTAATCAGTAGATTCAAACGATCCAAGTCATATGGTCACAGTTGCCACTTCTTCCTTTGAAACATAGCAACATCTGCCCTCCCACAGTCACATTCAGGCAAGGAATTTGGCCATGCAAGACCAGCTCGAAGGAGCACCGGCACTCCAAGACAGAATAGGAAAAACCAGTATTTTGGTGGTCATCCCTTTTTCTTCTTCAAGTAGCCCCAAAGAAAATGGTGCAAAGTGTCACAGTCACTCTGTAGATAAGTGATCTCCAGGAAAATGCATTTCTAGCAATCAAATGAGTCCTTAGTTGGTTGACTGCCATCTGAACACTCCAAATGACTAAATCTGATTAAGTTACAGAAGGTAACTTGGCAGGAATTCATTCTCTTGTTGAGAAGAAACACCAAGAAACAGTTCAGACAAAAGCACATGCCTACTGGCAAAATAATTATAGGAGTCTGCGTTTGCTAAAGGTAGTTGCAGATGAATACCAAATAAATTATGCACTGTTTAACAACCAGAATTGTAAAAACTCACCTGACTCTTGCAAGTATCTATATACCAGGAAGTTAACCTCATCACTGCTTATACTCATCTTTATTCCCAGTTAAACCATGAGGTCACAACAAAGGACACAACCCTGAAAATAAAAAAGTAGGTGAATTAAATATTTTTAGTACCTAATACGTATTTCTCAACAAATGCTATATTTATTAAGTAAGTACTCCCTGGCAGTATAGACAATGGTTTTATTTTATAATGCAAATAAGTCTACTGCAGTCATTAAAAAAATAATTTGTCTCACCACAACATAAAGGTCAGTAAATTAAATATTGAAGGGCTGGATTCTCAAATGATGCAAATTGGTATGGACCAGGGAACTATGCCGCTTAATACGAGTACTAGAAAGGCCTCATTTCACAGGTTTTTAAAAAATAATCAAGTGAGTTTCATCTAATCAACATTATTGCTATGGAACAAATTTTTCAAAATGCAGATTTCTCTCTGCCTGGCTAACAAAGACTGAGAACTTGGTTTCATGTTGGTATCCAGGCAAGTCCTCACTTTTACTTTCTACTCTACTTCAATTTTCAGGTATTCCTGCTCTAGTAAAAAGGTGCAGTATGGGCTACAATACTGCATCTGTTCAAAGAAAGCTCAGCTATTTCCACTAAAAATTAGAAAACATCTCAGCCATACCTTATGCTTTGCAAAATGAATTCTTGAAATTAGAGACAAACTTTAAACAGACCACTTTCAGTAACACTTCTCTAGGCTTTCAATCAATGCTTTAAAAATACTGATCAATACATATACACAATTTTTCCTTGATTTTATTAATGGTAAATATTTAGCAAGACAAATAACGTATCAAACTATACATACTTTTGATGACAAATTTTGAAAATATGAAGCAACAAGAGTCTTTAAAATACAAAGATGAAGAGACAGAATACAGTATTTTTTCCTAACTTTAAGTCTCATTTTTAAGAACATTGTCATGACTCCTGAATGTTTGAAAATCCTGATCTTTCCATGACATCTAGTAGATGGGTAAAACCATCAGCTTCCAGAACATAGTATGAAATAAAGTCCATCTCCTGTTCCTAGTATCCACCCAGCACTTTTCATCAGCAGACATTCAAATTTTTTTACCCAGCCACTCACCATCACTGTTTTCTTCTATGGAACTGGTGTCTGAGAAGGTAAGTGACTTTCCTACTGTTATTTGACAGTCTGACCTGGATCTGACATTAAAAAAGACAGACTAGAGAATAGGTTTTCTTGTACTGTTCAAAATACAGAGTTCTTGCTACATGGCTGCCTGGTCAGGCCATTCGCCACTGTTGCTCTACATGGGAGAGCAGTCAACACAGCAGTAACAACAAGGTTATGATCGGCATTATAAGGCTGCCATACACATTCTTTCTAGGCATCTTTCCTTGGGAAATCTTGCTAGGAAAACAGGAGCAAATGATCACACTCTCTTTCTTATCATCTAACTTTTGAATTTTACCAGTCAATTGCAACCAAATCTGACAGTGGGAAGAGCTCTCCAAGATGTGACTTTCCTACAAGTCACAGAATCACAGAATTGATTAGGTTGGAAGAGACTTCTGGGATCATCGGGTCCAACCTTTTCCCTAACACTGCCATGTCAGCTAGACCATGGCACTAAGCGCCACATCTAGTCTTTTCTTAAACACCTCCAGGGATGGTGACTCCACCACCTCCCTGGGCAGCCCATTCCACTGCCTAACAAACCCTTCTGTGAAGAAAGGCCTCCTCATTTCTAGCCTGAACAGTTTCCTGGTGCAATTTCAGACTATGTCCCATAAAGTTGTAGAAGAAAGACCCAATTAAACTTCTCAAGAAGAGGAGAGGCTACAAGATGAACGCAGACATCAAAAGCAGTGTGTTTGCCGAAAACCACACATGAACCCTGGCGAGTCAATGAGCACATGGACATCCCCAAACCCAGCCCAGCCGCATGGCCGCCCACCCAGTTAATAGCTGGGGTAGGAGGGAGGGGAGCGTGCACTGCCCACTTGGTTTGGAGAGGGCACAGGAAAAAATGACACAGTCCAAGAGCTGCACAGGGAGGGTTCAGACTCAGCTGCGGCCAGTGGGACACAAAGTGGGAGAGCTGGGTTTATTCTGCATGGGAAACAGGGGGCTGTACACGATGCTGGACACGTTCACAGAAACCCAGATCTCATGCTTATAGAGCAGGTCGAGCACACTGCTCTGCCAAAGGGGGGAATATGGTTTTAATTTCTTAAGGAAATAAACAAAAATGCAGAGCTACTTAAATCCTTCTCATTTCTAAAGGAAAAAATAATCACTCCAGTACAGTAACTTCTAGCTAGTGTAACACAACTTGCAAAGGCAGGCACATCGATATTAACCCTACTCCACCCATCCAGAGCCCCCAGCGATGCCTGATGTACAAGGTATACCTGACAGATTACAATATACTTTGAGGCCCCATTTATTGAGCAGTGTGTGAAATTAATGTCATTTTTAGCCTTTTCATGCATTACCAAGCAACTCTACCATGTGCAGGACCAAACACTAACTTCATTCAGCTATGTTTTGTTGTCATACCTGGCACAAATCACCTCTATTTAAGACCCCTTGTTACAGAGAAGTTCTATAGGAAGAGGAACAATATCCTCCTTCAGAGAAAAAAAAAGTAATTAAAAAGACTCACAAAGAAGCCTTTTTACATTACACACACAAACGGTAGTATTTGTTTCACGGATCTGTTACTGATCTTTAAAATCTCGCTGCATCATCCAAAAAGACAGATCAAAATGCAGAAATCACATGCAAGTGCTATTTGCTACATAGAGACGACCTGCACTGTTAATGTAAAGAAGGCTCTCCACTCAAAGCAGAACTGTGGAGATGCCACATAAATTCACTTGTTAGGTAGCTGGATAACTAAAGGAAAAAAAAACCACAACTACAGTTTGCTTGCCTATCAAAAGCGTTATTCACCCTGCCCAAGTTAAACATTTTTCAAAGCTGGTTCAAAGTGTTTCCCATAAGACACACTGGTAAGGCAAGGAGTACTGCCACATGCTGTCCTGCCCGCCTAGCAAGAGGTGGCAGTGCAACGCTGGCTTTGGTACCCTAACAACTAGAAAAACACAGAAATGTGTTCAATAAATGCACAGCTTGCCTGGTGAGGGCATGAAACTCAAAAGGTTGCAAAAGATTCCCTTTTTTTTTTACCAAGATATTGCTTCATCCATATTCTTTTTTTTGGTGCTTATTTGAATTTTCTGAAAACTCCTTTCTGTATTTAACCCCCCAGGACAGGCCCAGTCACTCAGCCAGGGCCCTGGAGACAACCATCACCTGGCTATCGCACACCCAAGGGAAGTGAGGAATTGTGAGAAGAACAAGCAACACCAAATCACCTGCCTTCTCATCCCAAAAGCAAACTATCACATCAAAGAGAAAATACAGCAGGCAGAAGTACGGACAGGTGACAGGAGACAATAATTATTTCCCTTTAACAAATTTTGAATTGATATTGGGCTTGATTCTGGTTGCTGGGTTAATGCTGCCAACCTTTGAAAACTAGGGGCAAAGCCAACCATCCCCCAGCAAAGGGCTCTGCAGCGTGGCCACCTCCACCCTCAGGAGCAGACTTTGCAGACAGCTGAAGCAGCAGCTCAGAGCTGTATGAACCCCATCGCACGAGATGGGGAAGCTGCTGCTGTTTCCACCCCTAGGAAGTGCAATGCCTCCCTCCTCCTTGCTCATAGCTTTCTGGGAAGGAA